GACAGAGGGGAGTGTGTGTGCGTGTGTGCGCACGCAGGCGTGTGCGCACATGTGCGTGTGTTCTTCCACCTTCCATATGCTAGTCAAGTAATTGGTGTCTGGGTCAATTACAGTGCTAGGTGCTAGGATATTCATACAGAATCTGTGAAAAAGGTATTACCTTTAAGGAGTTCAGGTTGAGTCCAGTTGAACTTTCCTATAGTTAATAGTTGGCTGTGCTCTATATACCTAGAGAAACACTTGTACGTGTACCTCAGGAGACGTGTGTACCCCAGGAGACGTGCATAAGAACATTCACAGCAGCATTCTTATAATAACAAAAAACTGGAGACAACCAAGGTATCTGTCCATAAGAGAATGGATACTTAATTGTATATTCAGATAATTGTATACCAAACAGTAGTGAAAATGAATGAATTACATGGATAAAATAGTTTTGAGTGAAAGAAGTTACAGACAAATATATATATATGTGTGTACATGTATATCTGGTAAGAAAAGTAAAAGGATGATTAACAGGAAATTCATAATGTAGTTTTCCCTTTAGGTGGAAGGATGCCAGCAAGGAGTAGCACACGGGAAGCTTCAAAGGGGCTGGGTTTTATTGTTTTTTGAACTGAACAATATATTACATGTTATATAATTGTATGTATAATATCTCTCAAGATCAGTTTTTTTTAAAAGCTCTCTCTTGTTTTAACCTTTGGTTATCTCAGAAATAGTGACTCTCCTTTTCTAGTCACTCACTGCACAACTCCCAAGGTCTATTTGACACCCATGCAACTGGTGGGTACTGCTCTCAAGTGCCTAGGCCATGGGTCACTTTCACTAGGGATGGAAAGAGAGGACTGTATGTCTGTAATTCTGGAGACAGTAATAAGCAATAGACAATAATTTGCAAAAGTGACTGACTACTTTAATATGCCTTAGCATATTCAAATAATGCTTCTGTATCAAAACAGAGCTGAGGGATCTAAAAGCAGTTTACAGTTCTGGTATTCTACATTTGGCATGCTTTCAGACAGAGCCCTGTGCATTGCTTATTCTAATACTTAATTAATATGGCATCTGGACAGAAAGTTCTTGAAAATACTTCACTAATTCAAGTAAATAATAAACAATACAAATTTTCTTGTAAACTTTCCAGCACTTAAAATGTTGGAATTAAAGCAGGTCAAAAATTTTTCAAAGGAAAATATTCAAGACAGTCAGAATCTTGGAGAAAGCCAGAGGAGAAAAAAAGTCCTCAGAGTCAGTGACCTTTTATTTAGCCCAAAGAGAAATATGAAAAACTTACTACTCTCCATAGTACCACAATCAGAGAAGAAAGTTTGCTTCTGTTTCTAACTCCATGGAATCATCAGTCATGTCCTCAGGGATTGCCTCCATCCATTAATTTCACCCTACTGAAATTAGGTTTGACCCAGTTCTACTTCATTCTAGAGATTTCAAATGAAAAGTTTTGAAATTTGAAATCTGGGCCATTGCTCATCCTCACTGTGATAAAAAGGAAAGGTGTAACAAGTTGTTGCTTGCTAATTATCCATAGCTATCTTTGCAAAAGATACAAAGCACAGGATATAGCAAATGTTATTCCCCATTTCCCCTGGTCTATTGGCATTTATTCACTTTGTCTTTCCTAAGCCTTTCCTAAGCAAGTTTACTATAAAATAGATTTCAGTTTTTGCTTTATTGATCTTCAATATGAAAAAACCAGTTTTCAGGTCAGTAGGCATTCTCAGAAGCTGTTATGGCAAGGTGGATAGTTTTCATATGATAGCATGCAGCTTAGGGAATGATTTGAGATAGCAAATTTTTGGATTGGTGTTGCAGACTTAGAGAAAAATGTGTGGATTCATTCTTGAATCTCTCCAGACATTGGTATGACTGTATTCCCAGAGATGGTTCTCAGTGGGACCACACTTCTAATGATAAGGAACAGACTGAATTCATTTCTGTCATTACCGGCCTCTCAAAACCAATCCTTGCAAGTCTTGTAGCCCATCTGGGTTTTTCTCATTAGAGTTTAAGAGGCACACCAGGAAAAAAATATCATTGGATTTCAATTCTTCCTTCAGAGCTTTGTCATATGAGAGCTGCTGACACATAAGGGCCTGGCCAGGTGGCAGACCATCACCAACTAAACACTGGGCAGCTCTTCCCAGAGCACCTCATTCTCCAGAGACAATGGTCTTCTTGAAGCTGGACTCAGAGAATGAAGACCCCATTCCTTGACACTGAAGCGGTAAGAGAGCTAGAATATCTTGGTAACGCATTTGGCTGTGCAACAGTTCTTTCTCTCATGATCTTCCAGAGTTTAAGGGGTTCCACAATAGCTCAGATAGGACTTGTGAAGAACCCTTGTGTTGATGGAGAATGGTTTCCTGGAGCTGTGGTTTGTTGGTAAGTTCTGGGGAGTAACGGGGACCTTTCCAAATATAGCAGCCATTCCTATAGAGCTATCTTGTCCAAGTCGTCTGTTGCAGCTGCTCCAGTAGATGGCGCCTCTAACTCTCTTACTGCCTTCGTTTATTATAAATCTTTTGCCATTACTAATCCAAGTCCCCCCAACCTGCCCCACCACCACCAGCCTGGGGGCTTTTAAACAATCTGGCATGTTGTTAATTTTTTTATTCTCTTAGAAACAGGTAAACAAGCACAGTTCTTATACAACAAGAGATCATAGAAATGCAAAACACTGGAACTTTCAGCAATTTCATAACAAGTCTTACTGCAATTTCATGTGAAAGTTACCACAAATGAACCAAGTATGAAAACAGGTAAAGAGCAGAGGAATAGAAAAGTGAGCTTCTACTCACAATTTCTTTTTTTTTTCTCTAGACACTTTCAGTGCTTTATATTTTCAGAATCTCTTCAGCTGAAGATTTTCCTTTGAGAAAATAATCCACTCACTTTTTATTTATAGAGACTGGACACATTGATAGAACTTATCAAATTTCCATAGGAAGTCATCACTGTGAGAAGCAGGGAAAAGCTCAGAAAAATGGTGCAGACTTGCCAGTCTTTACAGAGGTTGCAGCCCCAATGGATAATTTAAATACTATCTGGCAAGTGCTGGGGGAACTCAGGGAGCTACAGGAGCATGTAAGAGGGGTGCAAAGGCCCAGAAGCAAGAGAGAGCACAGAACTAGGTGAGAGAAATCTAAGAAGGATCTGCAGGTTGCAGAGTTAGGGGAGGCTTCTTGATGGGGATGACATCCAAGCTGAGACCTGAAGGATGAAAAGGAGCAGGCCAGGCAGGGGTTGATGGGAAGGAGACGAGGAGCAGCAGGAGGATGTTCCAGGGAGAGGAGAGGGTAAAGCATCTGCAAAGGTCTTGGGGAGAGAGAGTAAGGTTTAGTTCAGGGAAAGGGAAAGGTCAGTGTCTCCAGGGCACTTTAGGAAAGTCCCTCAGGGGCTATTAGCCTTTTTTTTGTGACATAGAACTTTGGCAGTCCTGGGAAACCTATGTGCCCCTTCTCAGAATATTGTTTTTAAATGCATAAAATTAAGTTTGTTAGAATACAAAGGCAAAGAATTAAGTCAGAATACAGTTATCAAAATATATTTTAAAATCTATGAAATAATAATATAATAATGTATATACTTCCTTATGAATGCATAGCATTAAAGATCTCATGGCAGGTCTAATAACTACCACTGTTTTGTAGTAGCAGTGATGAGGGTAGAGCAGTAACAGTAATGTAATATAACTGTATCTGTTATTTCTATTGGTGATAAAATCACAGGTAAGGTTAGCATTACTGTAGTTTGTTGCTTACTTTTATTGAAGGAAGTGCTTTCAATTAGAGATAAGTGAAAATAAAGATGCGTTTCTCTCCAGACCAAATAACCAATTGAATTCTACCCGTGAACCCCTTGGGAGTGTGTAGAACCCAAACAGCAACACTTCCTAACAGCACCTTAGCAAATGGATTGAAGATCAAGGCCGAAGATAGGTGCTGGGATGACCCTCAGGTCTCAGCCCAGAGAGGTGTCAACATTCCCAAGGAATATGGATTGACGAAGGAGAAGTGGAGCCTGCAAGCAGGGGCTACTTCCTTCCATTCTCAGGGCCGCAAACTTTGCTGAAGACACTTGGTGCCAGGTTCTGGGGTACCGAGCGGTACAGAGAGAACGTGTAAACCATTACCGCAAGGGATTGGTGAGCGCTGTTTACTGATTTCCAGCATCGTATAGGACGGTAGTTAGAGGTACCGACGTTCGATAGACTCGAGTTACAATGCCTTTTCTTCAATTACAGAAACTGTATAACCTTGAGCAAGTTTATCTTTCAGTGTCCTCATCTGCAAAATGGAGTAACAAAAATTTCTATCATGATCACAGGGTTATGGTGAGTTAAATTGTCTGTTGTGGTGCCTGTTAAATGGATACTGGATGAACGAAGGTTGTTAAATGTGAATTGAATGAAACTGCCTGATAACCTTTCAAGAGAGGGAATTTCTCTATTCTTTTCCTACTCCCTGTTTTTCCCTCTTTGCTTAAATCCAAAAGAGAAATTAAAACCTCCTCTGGGAAGGTAGCTGTGTCTTCAGTCTCTAGCTTCTACAAACGACCAAGTTTCCACGTGTTGTCAACATCTCTAAAGTTGTATACTTTTCTTGAGCACCTGCAGCCTGCTGGCCGGCAGAGAATCCTCAACACTCTGTGTCTCGGAGATTTTAAAGTGAAACCTGATGCTTTAAATGAAACCTGATTTTATTTCATAGTAAGGGCAGGTATTAAAAACCCTACGTAGGAGTCCACAGTAATTGAAGCCCCTCAATCAGGAGCCAGGCTAATTAATATCGAACAGACCACCATTGGAACATATGGGAATATTAATAATCGTAAAATTCTATGCATTGTTGCTTACTTCATTAAAAAAGATACTAAGTTCATTTGAAAATTCTGATTCCCAGAAAATGTCTCTTTCCCTCCATTTTCTTTATCTATGAGGTCAGAATGCTCCAAAACGCCGTCTTTCAAAAGTTCAAGTCGGAGGTTGTTTGTGCTGGAGTAAATCGACTAGTAAATCATACCTAGAATGAATATTTAACTGTTTCGACTCCACAAGCAAAAGATCAGAGGGGAAAAAAGAAAAAAAGAAAGCCTACTCTCGACGAGGATGGGATTCGAACCCACGCGTGCAGAGCACAATGGATTAGCAGTCCATCGCCTTAACCACTCGGCCACCTCGTCCCCGAAGCATACTTCTTCCTGGTAGCTATAGGGAGTAACACTAGGGGGATGTGACGCAACCTGATGGAAGCCGCCATTTTGTACGGAAGCAAAGACTCGATCATTTTTATAGCAAGAAATCAAAAGAAGATGGCCGCTCCCATGATGTGTGGGATGAAGAGGGAGGGACAAAGAAAATTTCAGTAGAAAATTAGATTACCTTGAAGGAAGTAAAATTGGCACACAGGCTGAGAAGGAAGTTTGATTAAAGGAGCCTTAGGAGGGCTCTGGAGTCTAAGGGGCGGAGCCGACGCAATGAGCGGCTCTGCGCATGCGCTTCAGCTAGGCGGTTACATTTGAATGCTTCACTGAGGTAGTCGGACGTTGTGAGTTGACGTCGAGGAGTGGCGGCGAGCTGCCTCTCTGAGAAGCGTGTGGACCCCAAACAAGTCTGAGAAGAATTTGTGAAGCCTTTGGGACGTGGCGGGTAACTTCCGTCCTGGGTTTTGGGAGTGGGGAACTTTAGGTTTTGTCTGAGCGGTCTGAAGGCCCCGCCGTGGCGGTGGGGGGACGCTCCTGCCCGGCGTCCTCGGAACGCGCTGGTCTCAGAGTAGATGCTTCTTTCTGGGTGCGGGGCTCTTTCTTTTCTCACATTGGCCTGCACTTCGTGCCGCCGCCTCCTCCCTAGCGTTCTCCATCCGCACCTGGGCCCCACGGGCGGTCCGGGATGGCTGGCCCGCGGCTCTCTCAGCGTCCCAGCCCGCGGCGCCCCACCCCGCCATCTTCTGTCAGGGTTCCGGGACTCTTAATTGTTTCTCTTCCCTGGGGAACTCACGGCTGTTTGCATTTCTTACTCAATCTTTTCTTAGCTATAAATGAAGTGACAGCAATAAGTGATTTTGAACACTCGACTTGTAATTTGTGTACAGTGTCTGATCCGAGTTCTGCCAGCACTGAGCAGATTTTGGGTTTCCTGCAGATGTAACATTAACAAGTAAAGCCATTATCAGTACGCCGCAAGTAAGTTTTAAAAACTCTTCTATTACTAGGCCAGAGTTAAAGAACCTTTTCTTGCTGCTTGTCTCCATATAGAATTTAAGAAAAAAGTTTTTAAGATATAAATATTGCTGACTGGAGTTTTAAAGATAGGTTTATAGAGATACGACAGAGAAAAACAATGCAGAGCTTACTCTAGTTACTAAGATTGAAGTTTTCAGTTGAATTGGATTAATCGAATTCCTGAGATAGGTATTGGGTACCTTGTTGTCTTGTGCTAGTGCTGGAAGCGGATGATTCACTCCCTCATCTACAATTTACAGTTCAGAAAGGGAAATGATTAGTATACACAAATAACTGTAAAACAAGACAATGTGAATTATCATAGGACATTCTAAAGGAGTGTGGGAGCACAGAAAAGGGGATCTTATTTGATGCTTTTTGGCAGTGGAGACTAAAGGAGGTTTCTTGGAGAAAGTGGCATTTGAGGTGGAACTGGAAAGAAAGAGTGACTTACGGAGATGAGGAGTTAGTGTACTGTAAGATTTTGCTAATTAAACATTGATTGGGTTCAAAGGAGTATAATTCTTCATTATGTGAATGGCTGGAAATGTTTACAAAATGACAAATAGATGTAAACTGAGTAAAAATGTTTGGAGTGGTAGTATTAATGATGTGTTTGATGCTAAGAAAGAGACACCAGAAGATACTCTAGATATTGATAGTAGGACAGTGCTGTCCAATAAACTTTTCAGTGGTAATGTAATGTTTTATTTCTGTACTGTCCACCACAGTACTCATTAATCAGAAGTGACTATTGAGGACCTGAAGTATGTCTATTGTGACTGACGAACTCTGTTTTAAGTGTTACATCGTTTTAATTAATTTAAATTTCAATAGCTACTGTAGTCGACAGTACAGGTCAAGAGCCTATATCTTTGGACACTATGAAATATATTAACTCTAGATAGTGGTAGTGTAAATGAAGGAGTGGACAAATAGGCAGGTAATAAGTATTTCACGCTTTACAATCTCCATGGTCTGCATGATCTCTGTCACATTTCTTCTTTCCTTACTTTTTGTTTTGTTGTCTACAACCCATTTTAAACATACAAAACTATGGTTAAGGACCCATTTGGCCCAACAGCAGTAGTTTATGGACCTCTGGATTATTGAGACATGTAGTTCCCAAACTTTCTTGGCTCATGGTGCCCTTAGGCCAATAGAAATACCTAGCAGTTCCATTTATTAAGTGATTAGGTCCCAACAATTTTAAAAGTTGTTATTAAGTTGTCCTAGCCACTTAGTAGCCATTTCAAAATATATATATACACACACACACACACACACATAAATTGAAGGAAAAAGGTCTTTATTCTTAAATAATCAGAATTATTTACTAATTGGTATGTGTGCCTGTTGAATACTGCACACCTTTCAAATCTGTAAATCAGATTGGGTACTGGCACACTCATTTCCCGTACCTCATTGATAAGAAAAAGTACTTGATTAATATCACAGCAACTGCCAAAAATCCAGCTTTGCAATAATATGTTACCAAAAAAAAAAAAAAAAGAGAGAGAGAATGGGTACTGTTTTGAGCTAACAGTGTCTGACAGATGTTGATAATTGTTGTTTCTCTCAAAATTTTAATGTATCCCAGGATACCTTTGTGAGTATGCTGTAGCATCCCTGTGTACCAGTGCCCAGTTCTGGAACCAATCAATAATCAATTGATCTGGCAGTGATCAGAAGTTCAAACATGACAGTGTTTTACAAGTTAGGCTTAATGTGAGAATCTGGGGTCTCCTATTTCTTTTGGAGGTGGAACTTACAGTAATGTAACAAATAGAATATTTTAAAAGGAAGACTTAAATAAGCTTTGAATCTCATCACCTAATTAAGTGCCAACTGGTCTTCAGTTTACATAGGAATGTTGCACAATGAGTATTTCAAACAATGAAGATGTTTAGGTGATCCTGATTTGATAGTATTTAATATTTTTATCCTGTGAATTTGAAATATGTCACTAAATTTGAAAATATTCCCCAAAGTAGAAAAAAAATACAAGACATTGATCGTAAAGGTAACTTTAAAGAATTGTTTCTTAATTAGTCATTCAACAAATATTTATTGAGCTTCTTTAATTTACAAAGCAGTGTGCTAGTTTCTCAGAATATAACAGTAAACATTAGAGACACTAGCTCTGTTCTTATAGAGTTTACTGTTCAAGCAAGTGTATGTCGATGCAAATAATCAATAGCCAATCTATAATAAGAACGGAAGAGAGTTTTATTTGAGCCAAACTGAGAACTATAGCCTGGGAGACAACCTCTCAGTTAACTCTGAGGAACTGTTCTGGAAAAGCGTGTTTTTTTCAGCACAGTTTTATATCTTGTCAGAACAAAGAACATCAAACATGATGGGGCTACATGCCTTCAAAGTTTCAAAAAAAAAAAGATTAGCACACACAACAAATCAGTGTGTCCTTGGCATCTGAGAAAGAAGCCTTATCATTGAAGGAGTACTAGCACTGATATCCCAGGAAAGGAGGCATTTATCTCTATCTTCAAAACGAATATTCTATACTTACGGACAGTGCACCCTTTTCTTTAATGGTTAAAGCAGATGCACAATGTATGTTTGATAAGCCACGAGATAGGCTGTTCTAGTTAGCATAAAGCTCAAGCTAGATCTTGTATAACCCAGTGACTTCACCATACTTCAGTATGGTAGTTTGGGAAGATAACGGGAATAATTAAATTACATAACAGACTTTTAAATTACAGTTGTGGTAATGCTACAGAGGAGACATACAGAGTGCTACAAAGAGTACTTTTCTTGGCTTTCTTGCCAAGAGAGAATAGCAAATGTATATTTAGTGTCTTGAGAAAGAGTTTTGTGTGTGCAGGAATAGAAATGCCAATGTGACTAGCATGGATTTAGGAAGACAGTGGTATGAGATGAAGTCTGAGAGGTAAGCAGGAACCAGATCTTGTAGAGCTTTATAGGTCCTGATAAAGAGTTTATTCTCAGTCCAGTGAGAAACTATTGAAGGGTTTTATGTAAGGGAATGTCTTAAATGTGATTTCTGTTTCAGCAGATAATTGCCTACTATGTGGAGAAAGGACTTTGGGGGGATAAGAGTGAAAGTAGAGAGACCATGAAGTGGCAATTGCAATATTCTGTTTGAGAGATGATGGTAGCTTGAATTGTGGTGGCATTGAAGATAGAAGTGAAGGAATTTGGACTATATATTGGAACTAGAACCACCAGGCCTTGATGATAGATTGAATAGAAATAGAAATAGCTGTCGTTTGTTTGATCTCAGAGGAAAAGTTTTCAATTTCACCATTAAGTTGATGTTGGATTTTTAAACAGGTACTATTTGCTAGATTACGGAATTTACCTCCTATTCCTAGTGCTAAATTTTTCTTTTTTAAGATGTTAAAACTCATCAAACTGTTTTTTAATCTGTTGAGATGATCATATGATTTTTCCCTTTTAATCTATTAGTATGGTAAATTGTAAAATTGATTTTCTAATGTCAATTTTGCATTTCTGGCATGAAACCAACATGACCATGAAATATTATACTTTTTACAAATTGCTGGCTCCTTTTTGCTTTTTTTTTTTTAGGATTTTTATATTTATTTTAGTGAAAATGGCATGGAATTGTTCCTTTGTTGTACTGTATTTATCTGGGTATGTAGAGGTATATGTGTGTGTATGTAAGATGGAGGTGGTTGTAGGTACGAGAGCTTTCTTTAAATACAAAATAATTAGCTTAACATAAAGTGGTTGCTTTTGGGAAGGAGGATAGTATGTAATACCTAAAATTTTCAAACTAAAAAATACTATTTTAAGTAGATAGGGGTGTTATCTGAGAACGGGAGGTAATTGAAACCAGAAGAATTGATAAGCCAATTGAGAAAGTGATGGAGGACAAAAGGAGACGGTCAGAGATCAAATCCCAGAAGATTCCCATCACCTTACTTCTATATTAATAGCTAATTAAGTAAATTGATACTAAAAAATAAGTAGACTTTAACTTCAAGTTTAGGTGTGAAGTATTGTTCTTTAATTTGGTTTCTGTTATATATGATGAAATCATGTAAAATAAGAAATCTTTGAAGTACCTTTTTTGTTGCTTTGTTTTTTTACTTGCTGCTAAAAGTGTTAAAACATTGATTCTGACAGGTTGGGTATATGGTATTTAGTGTTGCGGTAGAAATGCTAATATTGTTGAGTCAGAATCTCTAGCTCTTTTGTTTTTTGAAATCTGCAATGGGATTTTTTTCCTTACCCAGGAGTGAGGTTCTAAAGTTAAAAGGCATAAAGTGAAAATAATAGTTATGGATAGGTAGCAGCTAAGACCAATTAAATAAACTTCAGTTTATGCTGCTTATTGCACACTCTTTCCAAGACAGATACTCATTGAGTGGGATTGTAAGCATCATCAACTACATTATTTAAAAATGTTATTTTTATGCCTTTTTTTTTTGCTAAGTAATTAAAATTGAATTTTCATAACATAAACATGCAATTATGCATAGCCACTGTATTTTGATAGCTGATTGACTACATTTTGAGGTTGAATTATTATGTAATCCATAAACTCTTATAGACTAGGACAAATTTTTATTTGAACCATTAACGTCCATATCATCCCTAGCAGAGTTAGTCACTGATTTCACCCTGAATATGAGAATTTTCCAGGAGTGGTGATTATAACAGAATAGTCAAAATTTTTCATGTTTCATTGTCACATACTGAAGTTTTTCCTTTTTATTTTTGGCCTTCACACAGAATGTAATCCTGAAGTCACAACTTTGCTCTTAATCTCTTTATAGATTGTAATTTCTTTCCCTTTTTTCTTGCATTTTCTCATATTGTATATTTGTTACAGAAAAAGTTTTTCTTCAGAAATGGATGGAGTGTCTTCAGATGCTAATGAAGAAAAGTAAGTTCATGAAATGCAGCTAAAAATGTTAAAACTATCAGAGAAGGATTCTTTTCCAAATAGTAAGACATGTTGATAACTTTCGAAATCTTTTTCAGTTCTGTTCTAGGGAAAAGAAGTAAATGTTACAAAGTCACAGCATTCCTTACCATATCTTTATATAAACTCATCTAGTGTAAAAACTTAAGAGGAACTTTAGAGACCACCTCCCATCCCTTCAATTTAAATTTCTTTTTCTTTGTTTAAGCAATGTTTTTAAATTTTTGAATTAGTTGCCAAAATTTCAAGATTGAATACAACAATTAGATTTTCAGCTTTTCTTAAAAATCAAGTGTGGCAACACTGTGGGCTCATATTCTTGTTTGGCAACAACTAACCTGAGTTGGGTACGTAGTGGCTGTGACAATCAGACCAGATAGGAAGGAACTCTCCTTTGTAAAATCTCAACACAACCTATTTTCCTGTACCTGATAAATTATGGTGTTTGCATTTGAATATTCAAAACCTGCTCTAAAAATCACACAGTAGTAAAACCAGAGCTACAGTCTCTTGATTTATGGTCCATTCATCTTATAATTGTACTTCTGTCAATATGGTAAATTAATGTTATACTGATTGTTTTTCAAGAGACAGTCTTGTGATATAACATACGTATTTTAAAACACTGACTTCCTAAAGACTGAATTTAAGTCTTGTAGTATTAATTTTATTAAATGAAAGTGATACCAAGTGTTAAGTGAAAGTAATAGCCAATTTCAAAGCATATAAGGGTAGATAAACAACAAGGTCCTACTGTGTAGCACAGAGAACTATATTCAATATCTTGTAATAACTTATAATGAAAAAGAATACATATATGTGTAACTGAGTCACTATGCTGTATACTAGAAAGTAACACAACATTATGAATCAACTATACTTCAATAATAAATAAAATTTTTTAAGCATGTAAGGAATGTAATGATGGGTTTTAGAAATTCAGTTTTTTACCCTTGTGTATGTAAATTTCTTTTCCTTTTTCAGTGACAATATAGAGAGACCTGTTAGAAGACGACATTCCTCAGTAAGAAATACTTATTTAAGCTAATAATTATTACCTTTTGTTGAATGATGACTGTATACCATAGTAATTTTGACTGTGGCATCACCATCCCAACTCCATTGGCTTCTGTTGCTCTTTGGATAAAGACTCAAATATTTAACCTGATAACACAATTCTGTAAATATACTAAAATTAATATTTTATGGATTTCATGGTAATTTAATAAATTGTGTGCTATGTAAATTATACTTCAGTAAAGCTGTTTAAAATATATTTAAACTGGTGTACAAAGCAAGACATAATATAATTCAACTCAGACTGATTTAAGCACAAAATTTATTGGGTTATGAAATTTAAAAAATCCAAAGATGGAGGTTGACATTAGGCACAACTTAACTGACCAGGGGTTCCAGCAATATTACCAGTGGTTCTAGGTACTTTCACCGTAAGCATCTTTGTCACAAGCATGTTTGCCACATAACTGATTAGTGGTAGTGCAATTTTGCCATGAAAGTTAAATAACTAGTTTGATAATAATAAATGATAGTTTGGTTTCAACTGGTTGACAGTTTGGTTTTATTTCTTCATTAATGCAATGCTCCCATTTTTATAATAAGTAAATCTGAAAGAGTCTAAGGGTCTCCAATGCAGAGTTGAACCCATATTTCCCATAGAATTTTGGAATATCTGTGAACAGACATGTGACTTTATGCCAAGAATAAACAACAATATAGAAGAATTTCATAATGCAATACAAAACTCAGTTAAAAATATGCATCCTAGTATTGGGAAATTGATACCTCTCTTAATGAAGGAAGGAATTTTATTGAAAAAGAAAAAGTATGATGCCAAATGAAGAGAATGAAGTAATAAACAAATGTATAGAATACTATGAACAAAAGACAGACAAGTGCTTAGGTATTAGGTACAGCCCACAAAATAAAATCAGTTATTTGTGAAGTATTGCCATGACTCTACAAACATTTTAAATATATTAAAAAATTTTATATTTTGCAATAAAGTCTTTAATTTTGTTATTCATTTTTCATGTTTTATTATGTCCTTTTTAATATCTCATATTTTTCTTTATCTTTTTTGGCAAAATTGCCTTACAATCAATTATGTTACAAACAATTATGCAGCAAAAACGTTTATGGTAAAGATGTGGCAAAGATGTTTATGGTAAAAATACTGGACATGACCACCAGTATTAGGATTTCCTTTCATTTTTTATACTCTGATCACTTTCTCTGGGTAATCTTCATTATCAAACAGGCTCTCTTCGTGTGATTACTGTAGTACATCTAGCTCTCTCAATTTTCAGGTTGAAGACCTACATGAACAAGTGTCTATTTCCTCAAGATAAAAAAAATCCCAGAGTACTCAGGACTGAATCATGTTGGCTCAATTATCTTGATATGGGTCAAATCCTCACTCTCAAACCAATCACTGTTGATGAAGGAATATCACGTGCAGATTGTTCCAGGCCTGGGCTACCTTTTGTACCCTAGAATTGGAGTAGAGCTCTACCCACACCACATGGGATGAGAGTAGGCAAAACAATTGGGAAGGTGGTCAGGGACAAGGGAATAGATGCCAAATTTTTAAACCAGCCACAAAGTATAGCACTTAATTTGAGGAGTTTTAGAGGTTTTTATAGGAATTTTAGGATCTCTACCTTTCTACTTATGGTATAACTTGAAATGAGGTGACTATTAATAGATATGGCAGATTTTCTTCAATAATTCCCTTCCAGATTTTGAAACCCCCAAGGAGTCCTCTTCAAGACCTCAGAGGTGGGAATGAAACTGTTCAGGTAAATTTTGATATATATGCTTTATAGATGACTATTTTCAGTGATATTTTGAATAGTCAGGAACTTTATTAGCTATATGAAGGGAGAACGTCATAAATGATTCTCAATTGCATATAGACAAGTAAGCATCCCATGGCCTTCAGGTTAAAATCCAAATAACTTAAATAAGCTAAGAGTCTTGATTTCTAACCCATATTTGCTTTTCCAGCCTCCTTGCTTGCCACTCTCACATATGTATCTCACCATTCAGGATTGCTTACCATTCCCCAAACTGTCAAGCCTGCAGGTATTTACATATGATGTTACCTCTGTCTAGATGGCTAGTCCCTCGTTCTTCATTTATCTGCCAACATCTTATTAAAATTTTTTTATACACACTGAAAAGTAGAAAGAATTTTGCCATGAATGTTCATATGGTCATCACCCAGATTTTACAATTCATATTTTGTTATACTTGATTTATCATATATTTGTAGTCCTCTTTATCTGGTAATTCCTATTGATCTTCAAGACTCAGCTCTGGTATCACTTCTCTCAGAAAATCATCCCTTAACATCTTCTATTGTAATTGTTTACTAACCTCCATTCTAAATTGAGAACTCTCTGAGGTTGGAAACTTTCTCATGTGTTTTTTAAATGTATTATGTCCGGTATATGTAGTTCACTTTCAATACATTTTGTTGATTGATGAAATGCCTGTAGTTTTGGAGACCATATAATTCTGAGTGTTTACTTCAGCCTCTCTTGTCTTTCTGTTTCTCAAATACATCAAGCTTTTCCTTGCTTCAGGGCCTCTGTACATGTTCTGCCTAGAATGCTTTCCCACTAACCAACTCTTCACCTGCCTGCTAACTAATCCTTCATGTCTCAACTTAAATGTACTTTTCAAAGAAATCTTCTCTGATTCTCAGGCTAAATTACTATTTTTATATAGTTTTTATTCATACCACTCATCATACTTTTGATTTTATATGTGTGGATTTTTTGTTTTAATGTTTGTTTCGCCATTAATTCCCAGTAGAGTAGGGACCGTATTTGTTTCCTTTACCACTCTTTTTTCATCACTCAGCATGGGATTGGGGGGGCGGTGAGTGTTTTGTTTTTGAGTTTTTTATTTAATGAATGTTGAATGACAGATTCACAGACTAAAAGAGCTTTAAAACCAACAGGACCTCAACAGTAATCTTGAATCTAGTTCTTCATTATATAGATGAGGAATATGAGATCCAGAGAGATTAAATGTTTTGTCAAAGCCTACACAGCTAGTTAGTGGCAGACTTCAAACTGGAATTCTAATCTCCTAACCTCTAACTCAGTGCTGTTTCCAGTATACCACACAAATTTGAGGGATTTTTAGTAAGAAATATAGTATTTACTATGTCTATATTATTGTCATTATTAAGCTCAAGACCACATGTAATGTCTGCCAGAGTCTTAACATAGAGGATGAATATTCTTGATTCTTTGTTATAATAAAACTTAGACTCAGGTATTCAGACTTATCACAGTAAAGTTTTCTGTGGATTTCATTTGTTTCTCTGTCTTTTGCTTTTTGTGTTTGGTAACTATGTGAGTAAAAATGTTTGCTCTTGTTAAGGAGGATGAGAAAAAATAAAAATAGTATACTATAATGAAAGGATGCTCAGCATCACTAATCATTAGGGAAATTCAAATCAAAACCACAGTGAGCTATCAGCACATACCCATTAGGATGGCTATTATAAAAAAAAAAAAATCCAGAAAATAACAAGTGTTGGCTAGGATGTGGAGTAATTGGAACCCTTGTGCACTATTGGTGGGAATTTAAAATGGTGTAGCTGCTGTAGAAAACAGTGGTTCCTCCAAAAATTGAAACCAGAATTACCGTATGATCCAGCAAGTCCACTTCTGGGTATATACCCAGAAGAAATGAAAGCAGGGTCTTGAAGAGATGTACACCAATGTTCATAGCAGCATTAATCACAGTTGTGAAAACGTGGAAGTGACCCAGAGTCCTTTGACATGTGAAAGGATACACAAAATGTAGTACATGGCATTAAAAAGGAAGGAAATTCTGATACATATGGCAACATGGATGAACCTTGAAGACATTATGCCAAGTGAAATAAATCAGTCACAAAAAGACAAATATGATTTCTACTTACAAAGTACCTAGGGCAGTCAAATTCATAGAAAGAGAAAATAAAATTGTGGTTGTGGGGAGGTTAGTGAGGGAAGAGGGAGTTGTTTAATGGCTACAGAGTTTCACTTTTGCAAGATGAAAAGATTTCTGGAGATTGGTTGCACAGCTATGTAGATGTACTTAACCCTAAAGTGTACACTTAAAAATAGTTTAATTTTTAAGTATGTTATGCTAAGTCAAATAGCCACAGAAGGACAAATACTGCGTGATTCCATTTATATGAAGTGCCTAAATAGTCAAACTCATAGCAGCAGAGAACAGAACAGCAGTTGCCAGGGCAGAGAGGAGGGGAAATGGGGAGTTGCTAATCAACTGGTTTAAAGTTTCAGTTATGCAAGATGAATGAATTCTAGAGATGAGCTGTACAACATTGTGCCTACAGTTAACAATATTGTATTGTACATTTAAAAATCTGTTAAGAGGGTAGATGAGTGGTTTTACCACAATAAAATTTAAATTTAAATTTAAGAAGTGGTTAATACAGTAAGTTTTATGTTAATTGTATTTTACCAAATAAAAAAAATTTTTTAATCTTTAAAGTAATATAGTAAGTTTACCATAATAGGCAACATATCACTTGTTTTGTCCCCAGTCTTTCTTCTACAATAGCAAAATAACCATTCATTTAAAGGAGAGAGAAAAGATAAGGGACAGTAATCACCTTTTTTAAATATATGTTGTTTGTGTCAGTGTGCTTATTATCACTCATATTGAAAAATCATATCCATGTTTGTTAAGTGCTTTTATATGGAATATTTTGGAGAATCAAATTGTCAAAATTAATAATATCACATTAATTCAGAATAAGACTTGGTCTTTATCTATAGTACTTTGGAGACCTAATTTACAGTGGTTTCATTAAAAATCATACCATATATTCTCTGCCCTTAGGAATCCAATGCTTTGAGAAATAAGAAAAATTCTCGTCGAGTCAGCTTTGCAGATACTATAAAGTAAGTTGAAAAGAGAAATAATTAAAATGTTACAGGTAATGCTTTTTTATGTGTCACACCAAATATGTTGGTACTAACATGATTTGGATAATTTGTTTTTCAATTAGATAAGCATTAGAAAATTGTTATTTAAAAGGCTGTTATTCAACATTATGCTTAAAAGAGAAACATTGAAAGCATCCCCTCTAAATTTTGAAGCAAAACAAATGTGTCTTACTGCTGTTATTTAACATTGTATTGGAGGTGCTAACCAACAAAAATAAACTAGAGGAAAAAACAGAGTTATAAAAATTGGAAAGATGGGGATAAATCTATTATCTTTGCAGATTAATGATTGAATATTAAGAAAATCCAAGAATATCAATTGAAATACTTCTATAAACAATAAGTAGCAGGATATAAAATTAATATATGGAAATTAATATATTTTCTATATATAAATAAAAATCCGATTGAAGATAAATGTCCTTTTTTCCATTATATTTTATTTTGTTGCTGTAAATTTAATAATAAAAGCATATAAAGAAAGAATAAAACATTACTGAAACATACTAAATTAAGAATTGTACAAATGAAAACAAATTCCTGAATAAAAAGACAACATTGTAAAAGTGTCAGTTGTAAGTTATTAATTTAATGTAATTCTTATATATAGTGTTTTTATGACAATTTTCTTGATGCTCAGCAGTATATTTGTATTTCCTCATTTAATTGTTTAATCAAGAGTTTTAAGATGCATATCTAGGTGGTAAAGGCATTTTTTGTCATTAATTTTTAGTTATACTGTAGTCAGCAAATGTTAATCTGTATTATTTTGATTTCTATTGAAATTTTCTGTGTGATCTTGTATATGATCAAGTTCTGATTCTGAAGTCTGATTTGGGTCTGCATTTTAGCTCTGCCTCTTATCAGTTATATGACTTCATTTGTAGAATAATGTAATTGTTATAATCATTAAAAATACATGTAAAAAGTACAGCATGGTGCTTGGCACAGTATGCATGCAAATATTCAGTGCCTTTTTATAATTGAAATAAAATTCTACTTCTAATTAAAAAGAGCTTCCATATAATGAATGATGCTTAATATTAAAAGAATGAAATGAATTGGCCAGATTCTTCAAGGCAGATATCAAATGTCACTTATCCAGAAGCTTACTGTTCTTAATCATCTCAATGAAAAGAGATCCCTTCCTCTGGAGTCCACGCAACCTTATCTGAAATGTTAATAATAAAAGCCAATTTATAATATAATCACTGTTGCTAATGCCTACTTAACAGTGAAAGCACCTTGAGGTCAAGGAATGTGTGTCAGACTCTCGTATATAGCCCCAGGTACCAGGTATATAGTGAGTGCTTAATAAATGTTGAATAGAAAGAATATTTTAGGTTATTGAGGGGGATAAAATAATGATTCTGTCAGAGTTCATTCAAAAACCATAACAGATTTTAATGTGGTAAACTAATTTTGACATTTGAAATATTAATTGTAGATGATGAAGCAAAGAGGAAGCTGAAATCAAAGTGTTATTTTACCTATCTCAGACTATAATTTAACACCATAGGGTTCTAATTAAAACTTGCAGATTTTTAAAAAATCTTTATTTTCTCTTCTAGGGTATTCCAGACAGAATCTCATATGAAAACAGTGAGAAAGTCAGAAGTTACAGGTGAATTTGTAACTGTAATCCCTGCTAAATTTGTTTTCTATATAATTTTTCTGTGACTATCTAACCAGATAATTGATATAACTCAATGTCCATCTTATTGTTTAAAAAAAATAACTTCAGCCATGGGGGGCAGGAAGTAAGTTGTTAGTTAATAATTTTATTTTATTGTTATTAAATGTCTGTGTACAATTTTTCTAATGCTTTTATAAGTGTATTGTTGAAAAGCTTTAATCTTTTCTTTATTTACAGAAACAGAAGCAGGAGGAAATGTTCTGTTTATACAGTAAGTAAGAAAAATATGATGCAAATTATACTTTAAAAGTTATTTATTCCTTAAAAAAGTTGTTTATTCCTATTAAATGAAGTGATTTTTAAGTTAATGTTGTTTTTGTTTTTTATTTTGTCTCCCTTTTATGGAATACTTAGGATTAACTCAGGAAACAAATTTTTGCATAATTTAATATACTGCCATAGTTGATAAGTATGTGCTTTGTATAGCTTATCCTTTTAAGAGTGATGAAACACTCTACTTTCATATATAAATCCTTAAATACATCAGCTAGTACAAAACAATAAATACCAACGATCTTCAGATCGTTTTCATTAAATTAGTTTTTCTTATAGTAATATTAATACAAAGATAGTTAAATAACAGTAGAGCTTGAACAAATGAAAAGATGCTTATCTTCATTCATCATAAGAGTAATACAAACTTAGACTACATTGAAATATAATATTTCATCTAATCAGTTAAGAATATGAATAAAATGTCACTCATTGCTAGTGGCTATAAACTGTAGAAAGCAATCGGCAATATAATTCAAAATTTTAAATGCACATCCCCTGTAGCTCAGCAATTTCATGTCAGGAAATTTATCTTAACCAATACATTTGTAAATGTTTAAAATGATGAATATATAAAATTATTCACTGCAGCATTTACTTCAATAGCAAAAGATGTAAAAGACCTAAAAGTCTATCAGGAGCTGGTTAAATAAATTATAGTTTTTCCATCTAATTGACCAGTGTTGAGCTGGAAAAATAAGACTCTATATACTGATACAGAGAAATCTCTAAGCCATGTTACTTAGGCTCCTTACCAATAGCTGCTATTGATAATTTTGGATGCCCTTGCAGAAATTTTATATGTGTATCTAAATGCATGTTTATCTTTTGCTTTAAAAAAAATGAGATCTCTTAATGTCTTGTGTAACACTTTCCACATTGTTACATATAGATCTACCTAAGTCTATTATAATCTATCATATGTCTGTACCAACATTTAGTCAGCTCTCTATTGATGGACATTTGAGTTGTTTCCTTTTACTTACCTTTTTTAAAGGCTAAATAATTTCCTAGAAATGAGTTGCTCTATAGGTCATCCTTAAAAAATATAAGGAGCATGTATTAAATATATTTTTATAGTATTCTTGAAATTAATAAACCATTAAGACCAATCTGGAAAATTCCTTTAATTGCCTTGTAATTTTTTCCACCAGTTTAGGTGAGTCGTTTTTTTAAAGATGACTTTGGAGTTTTCTGCCAGTCACCCTATGAAAACCTTTCACCTTTCCTACTCTTTCAACTATTGTGATTGTTCCTAATTGTCTGGGGTATAGATTTTGAAACCACTTTTTAATTTTTAGGAATGAGAATCCAGAAGATAACTGCTGTGAGATTACTGGTGAGTATGACCAGAATACTCTTCTCATTATATATTTTTCTCTTCATCTGGATTCCTTGGAAAGTAATATGTAAAAGAACCATGGAAAAAAATGTGGAGAGGGAATTGCTACATAAAATCTTTAAAATTTCACAAACAAATTTCTCTCAAACCTATTTTCCTCTTGTTCTCTTGAACTCCCATTCACTCTGTCATTCACTCAAGTCAGGAATTGAGTCCTTTTTGAACTTTTACTTCTTTGCCCCTATTCATTTGGCCCTACTCACTTTCAATTGTCTCCTAAATATCTTGCAAATCTGTTACTTATTCTCTATCCATTCTGCCAGTATTTGAATTCAGGTCCCCACTCTGCTTTCTTGGTCTATTGTATTTAGTTTCTTATCCTTTGATCCATTCTACATGTTTGTAAATCTGATCATATTACCTCCCAGCTTAAAATTGTTCAATGACACTTTATTGCTTACAGGATAAAGCCCACACTCCTTAGCATAAACTTAGAAAGCCTTCTATAATTTGGCTTGTCTTTTTCTCCAACCTTATCTTCTGGCCTTTATAGACATCCTATGCTGTAGCTCATGAATAACTATTTGCAGTTTTCCATGTGGACTTTTTTTCTGCCCAAATTAGTTTGTAAATGCTATTTCCGCTACCTAGAGTGATCTTCCTAATCCAATTTGTCTTTACAGTCTTCTCACCTTTAACTTAACTTTAGTGCTATTCAAAGTCCACAAACTGTTACAGTCCATGACAGAAAAAGAATTTGTGCTAGAATATAAATCAACTATGGCAATAGACTACTGTATAGTTAGCTGACCTTTTTTTTTTTTCTTAGCAAAGCTTTCTTGATGAAGGAAATATTGCATAATTTACATTGGCTGCAGGCTTCTTATCTCATCATGAATTAATTGATAATAAGCAGTTCACAGACTGGCACCATATATTAAGTAGTACTGGCTTGAGTAGAGGCTTCTCTGTCAAAACCAAGGAGTTCAGTCACTAGTTCTGTGTTCTCACAACACTCCTTTTATTTTTCAGTCTATTGTAGAATTTATCATATTGTATTTTAGGTATTCATTTTTGGCTCTTTAATTAAACTCAGAACTCTTTGAGTCCAGAAATTTTGTCCTGTTCTTTGTGCTTTAGTATATAGTTGAGTTTTGGGGCACAGTATTTGTTCAATAAATGAGTGAAAGCTTGATGTATCATTCATCATTCAGTGGAGGTTGCCATAAATTCTATAAAATATTCTAAAGATTTGCCTTTAAACATATTTTAAAATGTATTTCTTGTTTTATTATAGCATCTTTTTTATTTCCAAAGTTGTTTGTTACCTAAACCTTTATATTTCATTTCTAAAATATCTTGCAAATCATTCCTTATTTCCATTCTTATTGTCTCTTGTCCTAACATAAACTTCCAATGTGTTGTATCTGAACTATTATAGTAGCTTCCTTATTGGTTTATCTTCTGTTGAATCTACATTTTTCTCTTTCTCCTGAATTATATTTATAAAATGCACATCTCATCATGGGAACATCTAGATTCCTTAACATAGGAAAAAAGATGCTTCAAAATCTTATCCTTGTATTTGAGTCTTATCAGTTGGTACTCTTTACTATGTAACTTCTACTGTCCAGGAAATAAAAATGGAGAAGTGAAGGAGAAAAAGAAGTGGTCCATACTTCCCACCTTTAAAATCTCTACCACATTTTAAAACTATTTGTCATACAGAGACTGTTATAATCAGTGATCTCTCTGTCTCTAAAATTGGACAATTAAGAGCCATAAGGACATAACTGACTATACCTCAATTTTTTAAAAAAGTCTTGGTGAAATTTAATAAGTAAGTCCTTAGGAAGGAGTTAGTAACTGAAAAACCTTAGTAAATGCTTGTAATTGATGAAGCATCTAAGAAAAGGAAAATCAAGGGGCAGGGTATAGCTCAATGGTAGAGTGCATGCCTAGCATGTACGAAGTCTTGGGTTCAATCTCAGTACCTCCTTTTCAATCAATCATTCAGTCAATCAATCAGTCTAATTACCTCCCTTCTCCCCCACCAAAAAAAAAAGAAAAGGAAAATCAGGCTCTTGGTGATATATTTTTGTCCTTGACTATAGTTTTTCTTTTTACTCAATAGGAATGAACACGTTGCTTTGTGCTCCCATTCAAACCCAGATGCAACAGAGAGAGGTATGAGTTCATGCAAGTCTTTCATATTTTAATCTTCCTTGATACTTAAAATGTTTAAAGCACACAAACATTTAATGGTAATGACATGATTTAGGGATTACTTATCAAAATAGACCAACATAAACTGGAAAAACTTCCTACCTTTCCAGTTAACTAAGAATAGTTAAATCATTGCTGGTTTAAATAGTAGAGAAATATATTAATCATATCTGGACTTCTCAAACGTTAGTGGGCATGTGAATCATTTCAAGATTTTTTTAAAATATAGATTCTTTTCCATTAGATCTGGGGTAGGTCCTGAGATTCTATACTTTTAACAATCTCCTAGGTGATCTAGTGCACTGGTCCACAGACCATACTCTGAGTAGCAAAGAGTTAGACCATGTCCTTACAAATAAAACCACTGCCTTCAAGGAGAATCCAATTCCCAAGAGTATAGAGTGTGCTATAAATTAGCCATCGTGGGGGGGAAGGGTCGGGGGGGGGAAATAAATAAATAAATAAAAATTTAAAAAATTAGCCATCATGCACTTATTCCTTCCAAGTCTTTTTTACTTAGAATGAAAATAACCCTCTAATAAAATAATTTAGAATTTTCATTATAGTTACATTTGATATTGTCAGTCTTTTCATTTTTTAGTCATTCTAGTGGATGTATAATTAACCTTGAACTTTTAATTTGTTCAAAAACACTAAAAATATTCACAGACTTTCGAAAAAATTTTAGTAACAAATTACACACTACACACCACACCATTGATTGAAACAAACCAATATATTATGAAACCACTTATGATTGTTTATATAATACTTTTTAAATAGTACATATTGTAAAATATCTTTTTAGAAGTTTACATTTGATCTGACCTCTTATATTTTGCTTTCATTGTAGATTTCAATTACAGAACACAACCATGAAAGGAAACATTCAAATGAACAGACAGTCATCTTTTCAGATGAAAATCAGATGGACCTGACAGCAAGTCACACCGTGATGATTACCAAAGGCCCTTTAGATTGTACCAAAAGTGTAAAGTCCACCAAGATAGATACCACATCATTTCTGGCTAAGTTAAATCTCCACACTGAGGATTCAAGAATGAAAAAAGAATTAAATTTTTCCATGGATCAAAACACTTCTTCAGAAAAGAAAATAAATTTCAATGACTTTGTGAAAAGATTGAAAACAGGAAAATCAAATGCTTCTTCTCCTTTCACAGGACCTGATAAAGAAAATTCTGAGATACCTATTCATTCCAAAGAATCAAATAGGACCTCTTCTATACATCAAATGCATGTATCTGTTAATGTAGATGAAAGTAGCAGTAATATGACTAGAATCTTCAGAGAACAAGATGATGGGATGAATTTTACCCAGTGTCATACAGCCAATATTCAGACTTTGGTTCCCACATCTAGTGAGTCCAGCTTAAGGAAATTTAAAGCTGATGATACTACAATTTATGGTGATGACTTTATGGACTTAACAAGTAACCATACTACACAGATGTTACCTTCAGCAGATAATCTGTCTGAAATAGAAAATCAAACTCAGAATATCATGATGGATGTTTCAACAGGTTATGGAACTAAAGCTCTGGGACAGAAGGCAATCTTTAAAGGATAAACTGAATGATGCTTTTCAAGACCCTTCCTTAAACCCTAAATGTGAAATACATGCTACCAGAAATCATATTGCAGGGACAGAAACTCACACAGTCACACAGGCTTCTAACCAAGATATCAGAACATTGGCCAGGATCCCAGAATTTATTTGTTCCAGTTCAGCTATTCAAGAGTGTAAAACAGTTTTCTATTCTAGTTGTAACGATGCCATGGAACTGACCAAGTGTTTCTCAAGTATGAGAGAGGAGAAAAATTTGCTAAAGCATGACACTGATTATTCTAAAATGTATCCCAATCCAGATGCCATCTCTCTTCTCAGAGAGAAAACTATTTATTCAGGAGAGGATAGCATGGACATTACTAAGAGCCATACAGTTGCAATAGATAATCAGATTTTTAAACAAGATCAGGCAAATGTACAGATAGCAGCTGCACCAGTATCTGAAAAAGAAATGATGCTCCAAAAGCACGTAATTGTGTCAGAGGTTGAGGAAATGAACATAAATTATAGCTCGGTTCCACATGCATCTAAGGAAAGATTACAGCAGAGCCTGGAAAATCCTTTATTTATTTCATTGACTGACAAAAAGACTGAACTCTTCACAGATGAAGATATGGATTTGACTAAAAGTCCCACAGCTAACTTAAGAAGTCAGTCTCCTCTTGCATCTTACAGTCTAGCATCTGAGAATATTACTAAATCTCACTCTCACAGCAAAAGCCCTTCAGATGAATGGAAAGAAATGACCAAAGGTCATATTGAACTGACCCAACAACCAAACGTAATATCTAAAAACATCCCAACTGACACCTTGGACAAAGAAAAAGATCAAATTTTGAAGATTTCTTCCCATCTTGATAAAGATTCTCCTCAGTCACCTGATACTAACAAGGACATAGCAACAAGCCACGGTATAGTATACTCTGGTGGAGATCTTGATAAACAACTACCACTGAGAAACAGTAGAAATACAGTTTCTTGTGAACAATCTTTGTTTCCTACTACAAAGCCATTATTTTCATCAGAAGAACAATATGCCATGAAAAGTCATATTGCTGTTAACAATCAAACAGTGAAATCTGTACCAGGCCAGAATTCTAAACTAGTTGAGCCACTAAGGAAAAGTTCAGGCAATCCCAGGCCCGACTGTTCTCATGACAAGGTAATTGTTTGTTCCGAGGAGGAGCAAAATATGGATCTAACCAAGAGTCACACTGTTGTCATTGGATTTGGTACTTCTGAAGTACTAGAACTGGGTAAGACTAATTTAGAAAACGGTAACAGCCAGCTAACAACAGTAAACAGACAAATAGCCATAAAAGCTGAAAAATGTAATGAAAGTCCTATAGAAAAAACTGGAGTATTTACTTCTAATGATATTATGGATGTGTTGGAGGACAAAAGTGTACAGAAAACTAGTATTCTAAGTGAAAAGCAAGATGTTAAAATTTGTGGAAGGAAAAGTGTTGGCAGACTAAAAATTGATAAGACTATTGTATTTTCAGAGGGAGATGAGAATGATATGGATATCACCAAGAGTTATACAGTGGAGATAAATCATAGACCTTTATTAGATGAACATGATTCCCATTCGATGCCTTTGGCAAGAAGTTCTAAAACTCTTTTGTATACATGTGGGCAGGATGACATGGAGGTCACCAGAAGTCACACAACTGCCATAGAATGTAAAACTGTCTCACCAGATAAAAGAACCACTAGGCCTGTGGACAAAACTGTAATGTTTATAGATAATCATGAGGAACTAGAAATGACAAAGTCCTACACCGTTTTCATTGACTACCAAGCAAAGGAGAGAACTCTGCTTCTAGACAAACCTAACTTTGAACTATTCAAAAGAAAAAGCTCAGAAAAATCAAAAGTGACACCGACTCCTGCTGAGGAAAGTGTTTTCTTTCCAGAGAATAGTGAAAAAGTCAGCCAGCTAACACCACCTGGGGAATGGTCTAATAATGATCCTTTGGAGAAAGCTGTAGCATTTGTAACTGGTGATAATGTGGAAGTGTCTAAATCAACCATTTGTAAAAATGATAAAAATGTACAAAAGCCTGGGTTTCTGAATGAAACTCTATCAGGCAAAAGTCACAGAAGGAAAAGCCTTAGACTCAAAAATGACAAGACCATTGCATTTTCAAAGAATGATAAAAATGATACGGATATCATCCAGAGTTGTACAGTGGAAATAAATAATAAAAGTCCCCTGGAAAATAGAGAGGACTCCCATTTAGTGCCTTTAGAAGGAACTCCTAAAACTATTTTGTATACATGTGGACAGGATGAAATGGAGCTCACCAGAAGTTACACAACTTCCTTAGAATGTAAAACTGTCTCACCAGATAAAAGAACCACTAGGCCTACGGATAAAACTGTAATGTTTGTAGATAATCACAGTGAGCTGGAAGTTACTAAGTCCCACACTGTTTTCATTGATTGTCAAACCACAGAGAAAATACTTCAAGAGTGCCCTAAATTTGGAATAACAAAAGGAAAAATCTTGGGTGTTTCTTTTCCTAAGGATGGTAGCTCTGTTCAAGAAATCACTAAAAAACAAGCACTGGCTGTAGAAAACGAAATTGCTCTTCACACTGAGCAAAAGCATTGTGTGACACCCTTTGTTCCTACTAATGCGTTGTCTAGAGGTCAAGATGAGACAGAAATCAAATTCCATAGCACTGCTGTGGATGAAGAGGTCATGAAAGTTGTAGACCAGGCCTGTACATTGGAAAAAGCCAAAATTGAAAGCTGTCACTTGAATAGTACAGATAGAAGAAATGTGGACTTTACAAACACTCCTGCAGCTGCTAGTTGTGGATCCAGTGATAATTATTCCTGTTTACCTAATGTTATTTCCTTTTTTGATAATTTGGAGGGGAATATCATGTCCTCATGTGATAAAGATGTAAAAGCCAGTCATTGCCCAGTGCAAAATGATCTTACTTATGCAAAAGATTTAGCCAGTAAATATTACTTGAAATCTGAGGGACTGCCTCTCTCTGCTCCTTGTTCTTTGTTAGAGAATGAAAAAGTTGTTCAATCCAACACCCAAGGACAGTTAGACAGTGTCACAACAGTGCCCAAAGATCAAGATCTGATTAAGGAACCCCAAAACCTATTAGCTAATGAAACTTTCATATGTGGTGAAGATGTGGGGGAAATGACTAAATTTAACTCAAAACAAGTATCTTTTAAGCTTCCAAAGAATCAGATGGAGGCCTTTGTTGATAATGTGGAACATAGTTTAAAGAAGACCTTTGTTGGTAATGTTTGTGTTGCTTCTCAGCATCATCTGTCAACTCGGCTACCACCATTACCTCAACAAGGGCAGAATATTGTCAATAAAGATGAAGCAGTATTGTCTAAAGATGGAAATAAGAATTTAAATATTAGAGGAAATTCCTCTGTACCCACATGTGAAAATGAGTCTGAAATGCTCAATGAGAAACAGTTTACCATAGCCTGTAAAAAAGAACTGAAGAAAAATATTGAAACAGCTAAATGTAACACAGCTATAGATTTCCACAGTAATTCAGACTTGACTAAGCAGCTTATTCAAACTCATATCAATCCTAGAGAAGTATCAGATTCTATAATTTCATCCAATGCTGCAACTTTCAGTAGTGTCAAACCAACTCTGAATAGTTTGAATGAGAAAACTGAAGAATTTTTAGATTTCCAACCTGTTCGTACACCACCTTCTCCAAAACAATTACGTGACTTAGTAAATAAGGCACACAGTGATACAAGTATAATGCAAGCCACAGAAATAGATAATATTAACATAGTGTCTAGCAATGTTAAAGATGATAGAGATGAAGAAAATAAAGTTTCTCACAGTGGAGCTGAAACCAACTCTGTACCGTTAATGACAGTTGTAAAAGATAAAGTAAGGAGATGTTCTTTGGGAATATTTTTGCCCAGATTGCCAAATAGGAGAAATTGTAGTGTCACTGGTACTCATGATCTGAAACAGAGTCCAGCAGACTCTACTGATTTAAGTCGTTTAGAAACTCAGGCAGTCTCCAGTAAGGATTCAGGCATTGGATTTGTTGTAGCTAAACTGAACTTAAGTCCATCTCAGTATATAAATGAGGAAAATCTTCCTATATATCCTGGTGAGATTAATTCCTCAGACTCAATTAGCATAGATACTGAGGAAAAGGCTTTGACTGAACCATGCCAAAAAGAGATTTCACCATACGAAAATAAAATGGAAGAAACCTGCAATAACCAAAAAAGAACCTGGGTACAAGAAGAAGATGATGATATTCAGAATGAGAAGAAAATCAGAAAAAGTGAGATTAGGTTTAGTGGTGCTGCACAAGATCAGGAGGTAAGCTCTGTCTTGAACTAAGAAATGCTCTCGATTTTTTAAAAAATTGAGTATTCTTGAATTTTAGTTTTAATCTTGGGTAAGCAGGAATTGATTATTTCCAACTATAGGCCTGGAGAAATATTCCTATGCAGAGTCTTAAGAAATTCATTGACTGGCAGGTAGACTTAAACACAATTTGAAGTGACAAATGGTCACAAAAAAATGAAGTGGAAAGTAGTACAAAAACTAATGTTGAAATTGTGTAGTTAATTCTAAATATTCTGTCACTTCTAGTGATTTGTCATTGTGGCTTTGCATATGAGAATCTCTAGGGTATATGTAATTGGAAAAGTCACCTTCAGTGTTAAAATATTGGAGGGTAAGGGGGAGGGTATAGCTCAGAAATAGAGTGCATGACTAGCAATCATGGGGTTCTGGGTTCAGTCCCCAGTATCTCCATTTTGAAAAAAACTAATTATCTCCCCCACCCCCCCAAAAAAGTTTACGGTATATGTCAATTATATCAATAAAACTAGAAGGGGAAAATAATTATTAAAAAATACTGGAGGGTAAAAAGCTTTTTTATTATGCAAACTGCATAAAGAAAAGCTTAACTGAATTTTCTTGGCCAACGAGAAAATATAGAAGCTAAGTCCATTTCTTTTGAGAATGGAAGAATGCCTAGATCAAGCCCAGTATCTCAAAGAGAGTAAGTGAGATTTTGTGTTTCTTAAAAAAAAGTAATAGATTTTAAAAGTTGAGGGAACACTGATCTGAATAACTTGGAGATGATACAACTTGTCACTCAAGCTGATTTTTACAGGTGGAGAAATAAAGATTAGAAAGTGTTTTAAGGATCATAGAAAACAAAGTTTAAACTCTGTTAAGAAATATGTAAGTAAGCTTAGAAAATGATTTCAGTGAGTCTGTAAGGCAAGGTTCTGAGGAAATTGTTCATCTATGAAGCTTTGAGAAAGTAACAGTAATATAAAATGTGTAACTGAATAGGTTCTATGAAAATTAGTATTATTTTGTTTAGTAAACATTTATTGAGTATCTTTTGTGTCCTGCATACTGCTTAGGTCCTGGGAATGCATCCATGAGAATTTACAGACAAAAATCTGTTCCCATGGAGCTTACATTCTGCCATTGAGACAAAGAATATATTATCGTTAAAAACATAAATAAGTTGGTAGATGAAAATGGCATTTAAAGCTGTAAAGTTAAATGGTTAAAATGGTAAAAATAGAACCATATGACCTATTTGACTTCAGCTAAAGGAGTCTTGGTCACCTGAGAAAGGAAGTACTAAAGCCTGGAAATAAGTTTCTTCTCTGTACTCTAGACAAGGCTACCATATACAGCCAATATTCTGTTCTGGTTTTCTGCCCATGGTAGCCCTGACCCCTATGGCTTGTAGTTGAATAATTGGATACATCAACATTTGGTAGCTCATAGAATCTGGTGATAACCTAGATGCCTCTGAGAAACAATTTGCCTGTACAGTATAATGCACAAAGTTATTTCCATTTATTTTTAAATACAGCTACTTTGAACTCTAAGCCTAGTTACTTATTCTAATTGTTTACTAAGGTGTTTTGTATGATTATAGATAAATTTTATGTTAGAAGTAGTATTTCCGTTAGCATTTAACAAACATTTAATCTTTATAAGTATAGCATCATGATTTTACCTGTATGATGTTCCTTTTTTGATCATTTCAGATTTTTGATCACCATGATGAAGGGGACATAGATAAAAATGCTGACAGTGTATTGATAAAAAGCCTAAGCAGGACCCCATCTAGTTGCAGCAGTTCTCTGGATTCGATCAAGGCTGATGGGACCTCTCTGGACTTTAGCAGTAAGACCTTCATGAAGACTAAATAACAGAAGTCGTCTGCTTCCTTAACCAATAATAAGTGTATTTAATTCAGGAGAAATTTGAAATTTGTATAAGCTTTTTGGGAGTTATAAATAGTTGATAAGTAAAATATTTAGTTTATTTTTATTCTTAGTTATTTTAATAAATTGAGAAATGTTATACCACAAGAATGATTTTCTTAAGAGGCTTATAATTAGTAGAGAAACATGGAATGGAGGCTTAAAACTGTAATACACTTTGCCCTGCAAATGACTGTCTTCCCAGAAAGATCCCAGCAGATAGCTTCAGGAGCATGAACCACACATAAATCTGAACAACTAAAATTAAGTATACAATTTAATTTTGGATTGTTCATCACCTGAATTTGCTTTACTTCTAGCGCACCCTAATAGTCAAATGGAATCACAGTTTCTCGGAGACACCATTTGTGAAGAGAGCTTGAAGGAGGTATATTAAAGTATTTCTCATTTTTAACGTAACTAATTTCCTTGTTTTGTCTTTTCTTGTTTTTTCTTTTTTATTTATTATATTTTGTTTTTTCTTGTTTAATTTTTAAAAAATCATTAAATATTTCAAATATATAGAAAACTAACTTATTTTTTGTTAAGGACCCAACATGACAATTTATTATATGGAGTAGAAATCATGATTGGAAGACCTGTTTTATTATTTTTTTCCCAATTCTACTGTTACTGAGTAACCTTAAGAAATACTGTTAGATAAAATCTGCTCATGTATAGCCTATAAATATCTGGATAATATTTCCGCAAATAAATCTGAAGTATTTTAAGCTACTTAGAAACAAATGAGGTGGTTATAGTCAAGATGAGCTCACCTTGAATGATCATGCAAACTTTTTTTTCTTTCCTCAGAAACTCAAAGATGGAAGAATAACAATAAAGGAGTTCTTTATACTTCTTCAGGTCCACATTCTGATACAGAAACCCCGACAGAGCAATCTCCCGGCCAAAGTAAGTTCAGTTTCTTGACAAAATAGTTACCTCAGTTAAAATATATTGTACTTGTTTACTAAACTGCATCAAAACCAGTATTTATTAAAAAACAAAGGATCAAAGGAAGCAAATTTTCCTACAGAAAGTTTTCCCATAGAAGGTACATTTGGGTTTAAAAAGGTAGAAATATTTTTTCTCATTTCTTGCCGTCTATTTTGTCTTTTATACTTTTTCCTGAACATGTACTTCTTCCTATTATTATGAAAACTAGAGTATAGCAGAAGTTTTTAATAAACATTTTTCAAATTCAAAAATATATACGATCATAGCTTAAGAAATACAATCAACAAACTCAGTTTTAAAAATTAATAGAAAAACTTTTATCACTTACAAAATTAAATAATATTTTTTCAACTTAAGTCTGTCAAATATTTTTTTTAATTAGTTATGCTGTTGGCCATGAAGAAAATGTTAACAAATGGAAAAAAATGGAGATTTCATGGACATCATAATCTGATCTTAGTTCAATAAAATTAGAACTAATGAAAGCACTAAAACATCTTAGCTTCTTGGAAATTAAGAAACACATTTCTAGATAACTCTTATATCAAAAAGAAAATCAAAACTATTTAGAAAGCAAGTAAAGTAGAACATTTAATAGCAAATCTATGGGATATACAGCAAAAAATAATACTTAGCAGGAAATTCAAAACTTTAGATAACTGTTATAGAAGAGAACCTAAAAATAAAGTGCTTTTTAATACTCACTTTAAGAAGTTGGAAAATGAACAATAAAATAACATTCATACAAAAGGCAGGAAGACAGAATTAAAGCAGGTAGATGGTAAAGTTAATGATACAGAAAACAAAAATTAGTAGGAAAGATAACAAATCCAAAACCTGGTACTTTGGAAAGACAATAAAATAAGAAAACTGTTAGTCTAATTAAGAAAAAGGAGAAAGCTAAAATACAGATGAGTGAGAAAGAAGACATGTCCACAGATTAAAAAAATTTTTTAAAATTCATCAACTATGATGACAAATTTTAAGACCTAGATGATTTTTTAGAAGAATATAAATTACCAGAATTAACCCAAGAACTGGAAAACTCATTAACTACCACTGAAATTTTTATTTTACAATTTACCATTAAAATTGTCACCAAGACCTGATGAGTTCTAACTTTCAAAGAATAGAGACACACATACATGAACATTTGGTTTATGACAAAGATGCCCCTGCAGAAAAGTGGTCTTTTCTATTACTGGTGTTGCACCAGTTGAATATCCACAGGGAAAAAAAATGAACCTTGA